TGTCTCCCTGTTTCTCCAGCTCACCATCTAGGAGGATCACAGGCGATCACAAAGGCCGCCACCGCAGCCTCCAAGTTAACCACCAGCTGCCCTGCGGGAGCACTGGTCCTCCAAGGTCTAAAGGCTGTAATGGCACAGCAGACTTGGTATCGCCCTGTGCTGGACCTCAGCACCTCTCACCCAATTCTGGGTCTCTGCCCAATTATGTCTCCTGCAGCCTCTTTTCCTCTGCTTTCCTTGTACCAGCATGGTTTCACATTTTTGCTTGTCTCCACCTCACAGACTAGTAAGTTACACAGTGATTAGCTAACATGTCATCAGTCACCGAATTTTGCATTGAGGAAAAGGCCTTCTGCCTCCAGCTGTTCTGAATGAGGCCCTGGACGAGATGGGGAGCGCCACAGAGGGTCACTGAGTCAAAGGAAGACAAGATCTGTGACTTTTTCTGGAGTCCAGAGAGATCTTGGGTAGAGTCAGACCTAGCTGGGGGCCACTTTCCACCCTCCCCAGGAATTTTTGGCAGCAGAAGGGCTGCTGCCCAGAAGGGTCGAGTGTCTGTGAACGCGTCCCAAAGCCTCCTTCTCAAGGTCACCTCCTTGCCACTGAGATCTTCAGAGGCAGCAACAAAGACAATAAGACAGGACTCAGCTCTGTCCTAGGTCCTTCCAGGTCAACTCTACTTGCCACCACAAGGGAACAGACAAGCATGGGGAAGGGTGCCCAAAGGAGGGGGAGCTCCTGCAAGGTGAAGGGTGGGGGAGGGCAGGGTAAGCCTGGACCCAGGGCAGGTATCAGCAGTCTAGGTAGAACGTACTCTGCCCCAAATGACAAAGCAGCCGAACTCAGATAGCAATGCTTGCTTTGATATGAGGGCGTCACCACTCCATGATATTCCTGGGCTGCCCGGAGCCACATGGAAGGGAACTAAGATCCTGTATCCCCACCCAGCTGCCCCATGGGTAGGAGTATTAGTCTATCAGATCAGGAGAGCTGGGGCAATGCAGCACACAGCACTTGCTTCCCTTGCAGAGGATCCCCAGGACCACACAAGAAAGGATCAGGAATCTAAACAGGGGGAGGTACACCAGAGACAGCATGCAGTGGAATCTCTTCCACTCCCTATAAAGTGGGCCTCCTCAGACTTGGGAAGAAAACCATTCTGTCAGGTGGGGACAGGGTCAAGAGGCCATTTTCTGGGTCTGACCGATTCCAGGCCTTTCAGCCTCAGAGAGAAGCAGGCAGGCAGGTCCTGCAAAGCCGGAACTGACCAGAGGGAGCTGACTCTTCTGATCCCTGCCGGGAAGCAGGCTGAGGTCACAGGCTGGGGTTTAGAGGTGCTGGGGTTGGAAATTTTCTCACTGAAGAGCCAAAAGCATCTCTGCCAGGAAGGCCAAGACATGGGATTGACTTAGAAAATAAGGTGAAGCAGAAATGTTGGGAGTAAGTTTCCTGCAGAGATGACTCTGCAGAGTGAGAAAGCAGCCACCTAAGAGACAGGTCTTGAGGTGCTCAGGACCAGGATGTTGGCAGGATTCAGAAGTCAGATGCAGCTTTGGTAAGGAGCTGAAGAACCCGGATGATGGAGCTCTGTCCCCTGTCAGGGAGTATCCTGAGGTGGAGTGGTCAACGTGGTGAAATGCTACTGTGGTCAGGAATGACCTGAAATAATGCTGGGGTTCCCAGGCGAACACAGTGGATAGTCTCAGGTGGTGCCTTCTCCTCACTAAAATCACTATGCAACAGTGAGCAGATAACTAAGAGCTAGGGTGGCACCAGCAATGAAGATTTCATTTCTGAAAGATACAGAATTGTATTAATTCACAAATAGAAGCAGAAACCACATACCAGAACATGAATGCGCGGCTACAAGGGATGTGGGGTCAGCCTTCCCAGGGAAGTTCCAGAAAGCCTCCCAGCTTCCAGGAGACAGTGGCAGGGAGGACCTGGGGCCAGTGTACCCAACATGTACACACTTGTATGCATGCACATACAACTGAGCTGAGCTTGAGCTCAGGTGCTTACTTGACTGAGAAACAGTCCCTAAACAGAGCAGAGGCACAGTGTTCTGGCTGGGAGGCACCGAGTTGAACACCCCAAATACACCTTGAGCAAAGAGGAAGGAGTCAAGGGTAGCTGCTCAGTCTACGACAGAAAGCAAGACAAGTACTCAGCAAGGTCCTCCTTCAGCCTCTGCTGCAGGGAAATGGCTTCGCAGATAGACAGCCCTGAAAGAGAAATGTTTCCCAAGAACTTCAAAGTAATTTATAAAAAGTTGTGCTTTCAGTTAAGAAGCCTGCCTGAAGAACAGGTTTCCAGGGCCAAGTATAATCAGAAAGTAAGACACTGTATTGGATTTCATTTTTTCCAGTATCAAGGATCAAACTCAGGTATATTTACTACTGAGCTACATCCCCAATACTTTTTATTTTTCATTTTCAGACAGGCTCTCTCTAAATTCACCAGGTTGGCCTCAAACTTACGATCTTCCTGCCTCACCTTAGCAAGTAGTTGGGATTACAGGTATGTGCCATTGAAGCCAGCTTGAGAATACTTTAAAAAAAAATGTATCTCTATAGAAAGCTAAATAGATTGGGTTATGACCCACAACCAAATTGGTTTTGTAGTGGATTACAGTGACAGTTGCTACCTAACTCCAGCTCTATTAAAAATCATCACATGTTGTTTTTTGAGATGCTAGCAATTGAACAATGGGCCTTCACACGCTAGGTAAACAAAGCATTATTTGCATTTGAATCCTTATGTTAAAAGCATGTTTTTGGAAGAGCTCAACTCAAGGATAGCATTGTTTATTTTGAACTTTTCTGACATATTTTGAGAGGTGATGAAGTTGGTGCCCTGGATCAGAGTTCCTCACATCAGTAGAATGGTTAGGGAATCCAATCCCAGCGTGTAGCGTAAAGGAGAACGTTAGATGACAGGTTGGAAAGGACAGTCACAAGCTCCACGCACTCAGGTGGAGCTCCTGCCAAGGCTACTTAGCAGTTCACTGCTTGAGTGGAATAAAGAATATCCCACACCCCTTGGTGCAGGGCAGCTATTGGGAAGCTCAAAGTACCTTACTCAGTTTCAGTTACAACCAAATTCAAACCTCTAGCCTAGCTGCTTCAGTGCAAACCATGCATCCCCTTTCACAAGGCCACAATAGAGGAAAGGAACTGCTAAAGTTGAAAAGCCCTCCAAAGTTGCTTGGGAGGAAAATTTCCCAAACACAGATCACAGTGACAGAGACGCAGGAAGTATACCTGACCAGGACTCCATCTTTCCACAAAAGAAATTTTAAAATAAACTGTGTAAGAGTCACTCTGTAGGCCCAGAATGCACTGGTAGTCCTCAGAAAACCTAAATGGCCAATGACAACATGGGCTGTGTTTGAGGCCAGCAGACTCATCAGAGGCAGGATGGATGTAAAGTCAAAAAGCCAGCATGTAAGTTTGAAGAGGGTCCGGATGTTCTAGCTAGATGGCCAGATGGCTTGTTTTATCTTGGAATTATCAAAAAGATAAACACATTGAAACAGAGCTGCTTTGTCATTATTTGAAGGCTTGTAAATCCTGAGAATCTTAGCAAGGACAGTCAAAAGGAGCCACATTCCCAAGTGTTTTGTTTGGTTTTTCCTGCTCTAAACAAGAATTATTTCATTTGACATTTTATCGGAAAATACATCACAGAGAAATTAACCTTTGACACACGAGTTTCATTCATTTCCTATTTCTGGGAAGTACAAATATCTAATTTTCTCTTTCTGTCTCTGAGAGGGCTAAGATGACCGCAATTATCAAATATTCAACACTGTTACCGATCATGAGTGGAAAAGGAAGATGTCTTAAAGGCTGGACTGTTCTCAGTAATACCCCATTCCCCCAGTTTCGTCTTTTTCTAGTCTCTTGAGCAACACAAGGAAGGAGATGGGTATAACTAAGGTCAGAGAGGGGAACAGCTCTTCTTGTCTCTTTTTATCCCTTTCAAGGGCTGCTTGTATTAAAAGTCCAAATCCTGACAGCAGTATTTGGAGTTTGACCTTCAAACTAAAAAAATCAACAAGACTTGAGTGTAGCCACACAAAAGAGCTCAACACCAGTTTCAATGTTCAAACAATAGCACGCTTGTATACGAGCCTCACAAAGTCCCCAGTGAGCCTCCCAATGTTTTGCTTCTTTTCTCCAGGAAGGAGACTGCCTAAAAAACAAAACAAAAAAAGGAAATTCCTCTTAAAGGTGTAATCTATTGAGACTGTATGGTCAAGCTCTATGAACACAGGCAAACTGTGAACCAATTACCTGCGGATGTTCTTGGAGCTTCTTTATTCTTCTCCAACCCTAATATGGCCAAGTAGCCTTTTGAGAGATGCGCTAGCAGAGGTCAGATGCAGGCCCCACAAAACCTTTGAGCCACGTATACACAACAGTCCTCAAAGCTATATCAAGTCTTCTAAACGCGTATTTGCCTATAAATGGCCTCCACATTCAATGTAGGACAGTTTGCTAAATCTCCTTCCAACACTAGTAAGTATCTACTTGTTTTTAACTGAATACTGACAATGTCTTCCCCACATGGCATCTATCAAAGAAACTTGAGTGGTAGAGGCTGTCTCTACATTTCATCACTGTGGTTACAAGCCCCAAACTGGAAAAGCCTGAGGATTATTCAGTCACTACAATGCTGTGCCTTTCCCTAGATAAACACTTTTTTTTTTTGTACCAGGGATCAAACTCATGACAACCTTGAGCTTGCCAGGCAGGTGCTTGCGCTGCTGAGCTAAATTCCCAGGCCCTGATGAACACTTTCTACTCAGTGGAAACAGAAACATAATTATGCACACTTCCCTTTAAAGACACTAAGTACTGTTGAGATTTTAAAAGTAAAGCGAAATGAACGATCCATTGAAACAGTTCAATATTACTGCAATGGATTTTGGGGGAAATGGATTGGGGAAACTGTAATCAAATATAGGAAAACAAAATGATTATTACACATGACAATTAAAAATACAATTACTTTATTTCCACTTTTTTACTTTCCCCAATATTGTATCTGATAGGGATCTTCATTTCTAAAACCACAAAAAAAATTCAAGAAAGCATGTTACAAGATAGTACATGTAAGCAATAGTTTGGCAGAATTTATCAACTAGTTTCATACGCCAAAAAACGAATTTTAAAATTCAAAAATAACCATTAGCTTTATTTAACATATGTTACATCTTAACATTTAAAATATCATGCTCTAGTTAAATATTCCATCAACAACACTGTATACAAATAAAATATTACACAAAATATATTTAAGAAAATGTTTTGGTCTTTGATTTGAACAATAAATAAAAACACAGGCACTTCTACACTGCGACAGGGAAGCAATCACTACCTAGAATAGTAATTTTGTATAAGTAACATGTGAAAACATGGCAAGAACACCATTCTGGAGTTTTAAACTGACAAACCACTTAAAACACCTGCAACTTCATTTTTGCACTTCAAGTTCAAAAGTCAGATATACTTTCCTGACCTACATTGAAATTTTATATGTTTATATGAATGGTTGTCAGCGGAGAGTCTATCTTCAGTTGACCATTGTGGAATCACACTTCTTAATTTCAAAATTCTAAAATTATGTAACTACTGTGACACCACCTTAAGAAAAATTAAACAACTTTTTGTGGCCATAGACAACAAGATGAACTGGATGGCTTACAACAATAATTGGTTTACAAAATTAACTAATCATACTAAAACAAGAAAATACTGATAGGGTGGCAGTGACAGAAGTCCATTTTCTAAACAATTTTTAAAACGCATCCAAATCTCATGAAAATAACATAATTCCGTTTCACAAAAACCACTGGGCCGTGAACAACAAAATCTTGGTAGCTGATAAGTTCACAAATACCTGAATTACAAAAAATCAATGATTATAATGGAAGCAGAAATATTCTCACATAGAGGAGCAAAACAAAAACAACTTACAATGGTCAAATTCTAGAAATATGATTCAGATTAGAGGGGCAAAATTAGAAAATAATGACCACTAGCCAGTAAAAACAATTAGAACCAATCTCCTGCCATATCCTCCGTGAGAAATATCGCCTGCTTTCCCTCGTCACAAAAGTACCAAATTCAAGGGCTTAGCGGCCCTCAAATGGGTACTACTTAAAAAGGCAATTCTGATGGTTTACCATACAAATTACCTAATGTGAAAATACAATATGGGAACTAATCCGGATATGCCTTTCTATGCAAAATTTAGCTTGTATATATTTTAGCATTTTAAATGAGCACTTTGTAATCTCGACCAAATATCAATCATCTCTTGAGGTTTTCTACTGTGTACTAACATCAAATCTACATAGGAACAGATGTTATTCCTGTTTTTCTCCTCGATGTCAAATGTCCTGAAGCCTTTGTGTTTCTCTGGAACGAGCCCGAGTTTCTGAAGGCACATCCCAGTGTACACGTCATCGATGGGGTACAGATGGACCCGGTCAGTGATGCTGCAAAGCCTCAGGGCCAAGCGGCCGGAGTACAGGAAGCCGCCTCCCCCCGCATACGGTGGGTAGACGCCGGTGTAGACGACCTCTGGGATATAGTACTTCAGTTTTTTATCCCGGTGGGGCCCGGCGTTGTGGATCACATCACCTATAAACAAATCTTCGGCTTTGTTCTTGGGTAAACTATTCAAGTAATTTAGGATGTGATGGGTGTTCACAAAAACATCATCATCGCCCTTGAAAACAAACTCGGCATCTGGGCAGGAGGTACTCACCCACCTAAGGAACAGCACTTCCTTCAAAGACAAGTTGAAAAAAGTGTCCCTGTAGTTCCACATAAGAATGTCTTGGTGCTTCTCACTCTCGAATTTCAGCATATCTGAAAGGTCTGGATGGTTGTCCTCCGGGGGCGTCTGGCCCAGCAGGAAGACTCGCACCACTGTCTGGTTCCCCACATTGGTTTCTCGGCCCCAGGACTCCCGAATGGCTTGTCTTCTGGCAAAATGTGGAGTGAGGGATTTAATTGCCAGCAATAAGAAGGGTTTCTTTGCACATTTATTTGGTTGATCTATAATCAGTGAATAATTTCGACACCTCAAATACAGCAGAAAGTCTTTAAACCTGTCTGGCAGATTGTTAAAATCAGTTATCAATGAGGAGACTCTCAGGTCGGGTTCACAGTAGTTCAGATGGCTGGTATTCCAAGGCCCAGAGCCATCCCCCGTCTGGTTGGTCAGCATGCTCAAAATGGGATTGTACCGCTTGTTCAGCTTTTCCTGTTCTCTGTTCCAGTACGCTTGCGGGGGACTAGATATCTTCCAGAACTTTTCTTTGGGAATTATTACTTCCCCTTTTCCATTTTTTTCTTGGCTACTGCTTTTGGAGACTTCCACAATCAAATAAATGAAGACGTTTGCCATCATCAGGACACCCAACAACTTTATTCTTCGACGTCCAACACTCATTTCTCATATCTGGAATAAAAGGGAGGGAAGTAGTACATTAATTTATTACTCATTTGCATTCGCACATAATTTTCCCTTGCCCTTTTGTCTCCCCAAGAAGAGGAGTTTAGAGCAAGGGCTTTAGATTTGCCTGCTCTGGTTCAAATCATGACCCTTCCTTTCTAGCCTTGTGAGCCTTCCCCTCAACTGGCACAGCTGATAATCTCACTTGCTCCATTTATAAAGTGGGGGCAAACCCACTTCCTATAACAGTTGCGACAAACATATGTTGTTTTATACAATGCTTTTAGAATTATGCCTGGCAGATAGCTAACAGGACTGTTTTAGACACCCCAGGGTCCAAGGTAAGGGTTACTAAAAATAACCGCAGAAGTTCAATTTCTTCACTTGCAAAGGTACCTACAACTCAGTACTTTGCAGACTGATTTGCTTATAATTCATAATGACAAATGCATCTTTTTTTTTTTTTTTTTGTCTTTTTCCTTTTTATCGATACCAGGGATCAAACTCACGACTGCCTGCTTGCAAGGCAGGTGCTTATGCCGCTGAGCTAAATCCCCAGCCCCTAAATGCATCTTATATTGTGCTCCAATCAATATATACACATGTACACACTATACAGTGTATGTGTCACACCGAATAGCTGCAGGAGATTTGCCCTAGGTTTGTATTATATTTCATTTTTAAAAATTGCTAGCCTCAACCTTGAATTGTGTTACAACAGACTATTTTATGGACAAGGAAACTGAGGAAGAGTGTAAAGACGCTTGCTCAGCATGCAGAGCTGAGAAGCAAAGACAACATTAACCACCCTGCACATTCAGAGATAAAAAAGACTCATAACAGCTTTATCCTAATAACCAAAAACTGAGAACAATAGGAGACATGATATTTAATTATTATATATTCACACAATGGACTGTCTACCAGCAATAAAAGGAAAATTATTATTATCAGCAATATCACATTACCACCAAACCCTGAAATTCAATTAGCTTCAAGAGTAGGCAAAGTTAGCTTGTCACGCAACTGATCAAGGCAGGTCAGTGAAGGACTCAACAGGCTGCTAGGTCCTAAGCCAGGGTGGACGCCAGCCAGATGGAGGTGACTTGACAGCAGCACTTGAAGCTCACAATGAAGAATCCCTTCTTAATTTGGGCTGCTGTGGGATCCCAGCAGATGAGCATGCTGGGAGGGTATCTGTTCTGGCTCAGCAAATAGCAAGCTGACCTCTGACCCCCCAATCTATGGTCCTGTGGTTTCTGGACTCAAGTTAACAGAGCCTTTGGTCCAGATATATATACACCGTAATGATAGTAGTGCCTGAAATGGCCTAATGTCTCTGGTCAGTTCCTCCATAGCCTTTCACAGGGGCTCAGTCCTACCTATTAATCATCTTGTAAAACTGATACAGTTCCAGTGGTCAAACCTTCTGATGTGCACTAGGAATTTTAAAAATTATTTTACAGTTAGTTACTTTCTAACCATCCTACTAGGATAGACAGCAGTAGGAAAGGATCACATTTTGAGGCAGCGCTAGGTTACTTCATATATAGAATTTCATGTTCAATAAATCTGTGCAGAGGAAACAAAAAAAGAGTAGGTAAAAATACGCCAGGCCCCAACACCCAAAAGCAACATGGCTTCTGGGATACAAAATGTACCGTGCACTGAGCTGGGTGAGAGCTTCGTGGATGCATGTTTAAAGATCTCAACTGTGTATGGCAAAAAGGAAAAGGAGAAATGACATTTTAGTGAATCATTAAAGAATTTCAGGCTGTGAGCAATACAAGAGTAAGGAAATGTTTGTTAGGAGCAACTCCTGGATTCCAACACTCCAGAAATGGATCACCTGCACAAGAGCTATTCGGTCAAACCAGACATTAAAAAGACAGAACACCAACCAATACACTACAGACCAGGGTTTGTTCACCAGGTTCATGCATCAACTAGGAACTCAATCCTTAGGTAATGTTACTTTTATTCCCATTTTATATTTAAGGAAATACATTAGAGAAATCGGGACGGAGCTGAAATTCCAGCCAAGGCTGTGAGATTCCAATGGAAACTAGTCTTCTCCAACTCTAAAACAAACTCTCTATTTTAACCAAGAGCAGTATTTACTTTTTAAAAATAGAAGTGCAATTTTTTTTAAGTTCACTGGGCTTTAACAAATAATTCAAGTGGAAGAATATTTTCATGCTAAGAATACCATGAAACTATGGGATACTGGCAGATCCATCAGATCAATAGGAATTCACAGCTATTTTGTATTAAATCAGGCGCACTGTGCCACTGGGCTGTAACCCACCCCACCCCCCTTTTTTTTTGCCTTTTTCTTAAATTTTGAGAAATGGACTCACTGAATTGCCTTTGTGGGATTCCAAATTGTGATGCTCTTGCCTCAGCCTTCAAGAGGGCTGGAATTACAGGCATGCGCCACTGTGTCCACTTCTTTTGTCTCTTACGCTATCTAGTTAAATCTTAACCTACTGGCTCCTATTCACTATTGCTCAACAGCTCTGACAATCAGCACGGTCAGCCCTGCAGCCAAGCTCTCCATAATCGCTGATCAAAAATATAAAAGAAAAAAATTGTACTGTACTAAGCAAGTATAGACTTCTCCCCTTTCCCATTCTTCCCTACTGCAGTGTAATAACCAGTTACATAGTATTTGCGTTGAATTATGTATTATATATAATCTCCCTGCAATTTAAGGGGTATAGGAGGATCTGCATGAGTTACATGCAAATACTATCCACAAGACTTGAGCATCCATAGATTCCGGAGGTTCTGGAACCAAAACTTTCATAGATTCTGATGAACAACTGTAAGTAAAAGGGTTTGTGATTTTATTGCATTTTTTTTTAAGAGGTAAGACTCTCGTTCTGTTGCCCAGGCTGTCCCCAAATTCCTGAACTCAAGCAATCCTTCTGACTCAGCCTCCCAAGTAGCGGGACTACCTAAGTATGTTCCACGCTTGGCTTGTTTGCTTTTCTTTTTAAAACAAGACCTAGCCCTAAACCCCCAACTCCACAAAGCCTCGCACATCTAGAAAGCATGGCAGGTAAGAAATGGATATAGGGGCCCTCAGTCCACCTAAGCAAGCAGCCTCCTGCCGCCACCCCCTTCTCCCTCACTCCCCTCTCCCATCCCTCCAGCATCCGGCCACTGAGCTAGCAAGAATGAAGTCCTTCTTATGCTTTCCTTCAAAGAAAAAAACCACAAGGCATTTCTTACTCCTTAATTGGAGTTTCAAGTACTTCAAGTAACTTGGCCTAAATAACTTCAAACTGTCCACACCTAAATTTCAGGTCCACACCCTTCTTAGGTCAGCTCCATTTAGCAAAATTTTATGAGCTCCGCAAAGGTCTGAGTCTGGTACATCCCAGCCATAAGTGCTTTGCTATGGGCCTCACTTGCATAATATGCAAAATAAAAGTATTTGCACCGATTTACAAATTTGCAATGTATTTGTATGGATGTCGATGAAGTATCTGCCATCTCTTTTAGAAAATATAGATACATTTAAGCTTTTAAACTTTTAAGATTTGAGATGAACTATTTCTCAATAATAAACGGTTTTAAGTTGAGACAACCCTCCTAACACTAAGCAGCCCTTATCCTCAAAGGTCTGATCTAGGGGTCTGGGGCCCTTCTTAGGCTGAAAGAAGGCAACAAGGAAAAGTATGAGGATGAATGGAGAAAAACTAAAGACACCAGTAAATTATTCCTGCAACTGCCAGAATATGAGAGGACAGCTTATAGAACGCGAGGCATCGGGCTGCCAGAGCTCATTACTCTGAAAGTAATACTCTGTAAAAATGACCACAGGTATGTTACCAGGTCTGCGCCCATGGAGGAGGCCAGTCACTATCTGGAATCTATACGTAACCACACACAATTCCCAGCATCAAAGCACCCTTCCTTTTTTTGAGAATATTTTGAGAAATATATCAAACATGCTTTGCTGACTCCAGGCAAGACCTCCAGTTTCATCTGCTGTAACTCAGGCTCTTACTTCCTCAGTCAAAACCAGGCAAGGTAGCGTCCCCACATCACCCTATCTCCATGGTGCAAGGCTCTCGGCTTTGTTCCACACCTGTCTGAGGAGGAGGGGTACAAACACTAAGATTCTTTCTTAGTTGAGTATTTTCACTGGGTTCTTTGTCCTCTTTCACTTCTGACTTGGGCACAGACTTGCATGAGAACTCTGCTTTTAGATGCTTATATTAAACTGAAGTTCATGCAAACAACTGTGGGAAAGAGTATTTGACTAAATATTCCCATTGCAGCCATAAAACCCAATTCTGTAACCTTTTCTTGTGCAGGAAGTTACACTGCTTAAAAAGAATTTGGGGAAGAATTCCTTACTCCAAAATTGGAGAAAATGGCTTGAACCTTCTCTTGTGAAACAGAATATTTAGCATAACAGAAACAGGAGGAAAATCCTATATACAAAACAAAGAACTGTTTTGCATTCAACTGTCTACAATACTTCAGCTGATTTTGTTTAACAAAAAACAACCTCCTTTATTTTGCAACTAAAATATTTGGAAAGGCCACGTGGAAACAGGAAAGTGTTAACTGAAAATGGATTATAAAATACCTACACTTAAGTTAGGTGACTGTCCAGATAAAATGCCACGGACAACAGAACTGGTTTGCTTGGGCAGTGACAGTTCCTCCACGCAGCTTGCTGTACATCTGAGCTGTGGGCACAGGGGAGAGAGGGAGGGAAGACATGGGCCCTGGCACAGGGCTCCCATCTCACCTGTGTAGAGACCACCAGCCTCACCTCACCGCCTCACTGTCACTGACTCCATAATGAATGCCACCACCTCCATTCACCTCAGCTCACCTGCACTCCTCTCCATCTACTAGAAGGACTCTGACACACAAGAGGAACATGTGGGCACAGCTGTGTATTTTCATAAAAATATGTACCGGGCACCAGCCGTCCTGTCGAACCAGCATTCAACCCCATCCAATTTATGATTCCAGGATCT